CTGGCATATCAGCCCCCCCTTTCCCTCCTGCTACATCGAACGCGCTTGGAACCATCACAACGCGCTATCAGTTGTAGCTTAAAAAGTCGGCAATTAAAGAAATAATTCATATATCGTGCTATTGCGTGTAAATGGAGTTGCCAAATCAGTCGGATTATCCATAAACTCTAGGACGACCAGAGTGCTTTAGAGCTGCATCCTTGCTCGAGAGAAGACGCCCCTCAGGACTAGTGCCTGTCACTCTGAGGGAACAGGCAGTTTCACATGCCTAGAAGGGGGAAGCGAGGTTCTTGTCAGATGGACAAGGTAAGAAAGACATCGTCACCAGAATCTATTATGTTGGCGAGTCTGCATAATCGGTAGATGTACTCTATGGATCCGACGTGATGTCTCTATCGCCACAAGGGTCTGTGTATATATGAAGTAAATCCAATCAGCCCTATGCGGTTTTGAATTCCCGGCCGTTTGTGGGAAAGGGGGTGGAAGCTGGGACCGTTTGATCCCCGTTGCCTGAAACTATGCTTTGAATGAAGTATGTTGACTTCATCTCTGATGAGACAGCCCTCACTGGCCTTGGAAACATTCAAAGGATATCTCAGGTTACCCAAGAAAGACGACTGAGATGATTTGGGTATGTTCCTGGTCGTTTGTCCAATGGGTTTATTGTTACTTCCCTCTACTCGACGCGTTTGCCCACCCAGAGGCGTCACCGAAGTTAATTCGAGACCTGACTTGGCGCAGTCCATCAAGAAATGGAGGTCGTTGTTGGACCTTCTGTATTCCGTCACTGTCGTAAGGGAGGAAAGGATGGGTCAAGTTTTTCACATCCACTGTTGCAGATCACCACACATAGCCAAGTACAATCCATGATATGAGACCAGCTAGACTACGCTTGATCACAGCCGCACTTGGCACAAATAAGTGCTGACTCATCCTGAGGGGTTTGTGTGTACTTTATTCTTACCCCCATATTGTCTGAATTGTGGTCGTTTTATGGCTACTTTTTTGACAGGTTGCTTGCGTTCGAGTAGTTACTTTTTGGTCGGCCTTTCTTGTGTTTATTTAGCTTACCTTTGTTTTTCCACTTTGAAAAGAACTTCTTGGACACTGTGAGAATGAAATTTATTGGTTTTCGTGTCCCGGAAGACACAACAACACTCTTTGGTTTGCCCGAGCCTATTCACGAAGCAGTGAGAATCCTTCACCAGTACCATTACGTCTCCCTTGGTGAGGTACAAATCAAACGCGAGGAGGATTATCTAAAGTATCCACTTTCTTTGGTATGTGTGGTGGTTACTCACGACCTGTTTATTTGTTTAGCTGTGCCTTTTTCTGCTAGAGCTTCTCGGGCCATAAAAGCTGTCATGTTTACTAATTTCTTGATGCTTATTGGTACTACTATGGCATGTGAAAACTCTTGTACTTCTTAATAAACAAAAACTGCGGCAGAAGCGGATTCTGAGCCGCTGATAGCAGTTTGTCTGAAGAATGGATCTCGCTAAAATTACGAACCTAGTTATGACTAAACGGGAAGTCCGTTTAGTTGCTTATGCTGAATTTCTGAGAGGGCGCAGACTTAGCACTGACCATGAGCATTGGGTAGAACAAAAAGGAATGGAACATTTGGATGTTCTATTTTCTCATGTTTTCGACAACAGTAAAAAGAAATTCGGCTTGAGCCAGACCTCACTAATGGCATCCTGGACCTTCGACTGATTATTTTTAAGGGACATTTAAGTTCGTAATAGAGGATTTCGGTGGATTGGAATAATTCATTTGATCCACTTGTGAAAAACTCAGCGACCTCGGTGGGCCTTGAACCCAACGCCAGCAATCGAGGCCCCACCGGAAGCCGTGAGTTAAATCACACTTAGGCGGTTAAAATGATCCAGGTGTGATTAAACCCACGGCTCCCAGTGGTGGCCTCGTAGCTCAGTTGGCTAGAGCGTTGGCTATACTGAAGCCTTTCCTTGCTGTGGTGGGTTCGAATTCCACCAAGGCCGCCGAGTTTTTCACAAGTGGGCCAACTAAGCTGTTAAGTTGTCGCTAAACATATTTTCCTATCGTTTCATGTGATTGCTCCTGATGGACCTCCTGCTGATGTCCAAAGTACTTGCCCTTTGAGTTAAAGAATGGAACCTGCTAAATTTGGTTGTCTCTGCTCTGCCCTTTGAAAATGAGAAACTCTTTGGATACCACATTTTGCTTAAGTGCTACAACTTATACGAACTAAGTTGGACCCTTTTCTTAAGATCGACTGAACAGCTCGTGAAGATACCCTAATGATGAAACCTGTAGCCATCTAAATGACAAGGAGCTTGCAGCACATCCGCTGTCTATTGTCGACTTAATGAGTCTCCGTTTTTGCGCCTCCATCTTTCCTTTTACAGGCGTCTTCAAATCCCCTTACTTAACCGCAAGATTTTTATTTCTTTAGGGTAAGGAGGCCGTGCCAGACACCCCCGCTGAACAGCTCTACAGGGCAATGTATCCGCTTCTTCCACAATATATGGTGCGTCCTTCTATCATCTCTTGCGTTTGTAATCCATACATAAATACAAGCTTCTTCCTGGTCTTATTTATTGTGCGTCGCCCTGTCAAATGGGCATGTCAGGCTAGATTAATGCGTTTCCGGGTCTGAAGTTGATCACTTTGGCCGGTAGCACATTGCTTTGACTGTGGCGACCTTCTTCAAGTCATTCTTTACCTGCTTTTCCCGTCGCCCATACTTCATATTCACTCTTTTGAAACTGAAACTGTAACGTAACCTTTGGAATGCCAAGCCGCAAATCTTTGCTTGTATATGCAACCAACAGTTTTGCATTCCTCGAATTTAACAGACACTGCACATTCGCCGAGCTAGTTAACCAGATCCTCTTAGAGATCTACGTATGGACTGGACAACAACTTCGCGAGTTAGCACATCCAAACTGATGTATTTCCCTCATGGAAATTTTATGGAACTTTTCTTTTGGCAGTTTAACGCATACGCTGTGGCTGATGAAAATCGGTCGAATTATTCATATTAACTTCCAGTCTGCGCCTTCAGGCCGTAGGATATACTGTTTTATGTCAAGTTATAGAGTAGTTTCTGAGGGCCATTCTCCGTCAACGCACCATCCGCCGACCGTCACGCGTGGAAAGGGATACCCCATGGCGTCATCGAAGCCGGCTAGATCAGGCATGGTCAAACCTATTTGGAGTGGGTTGTACAGCCTAGAAAAAACGGCTACGCCTGAATTTTGGACTCCTTTTTTGCACGTCACCGCTCATGGTTGTATCATAGGTTTCCTGGCTCCACGCCTGTACGTTTTTCTTTTTTTGCAATTATATGACTGCGTTTATTTTGGCGACGAGATGCAAGGTACGTAATGTTAGGTATACGATTATAATGCATACAACATGCCGATCTGTAAGTTGCATCTTCGTCAGTTTTTTGAACGAAACCGGTTTTTACTGATACTTTGCGTGTCCCTCCTGTTAGATTGCTATTCTCAAAGTCCTCCTGGCGTCTGCGCCCACATCGAGAGCGAAGACGGAGCCAATCAATATTCTGGCAGAAATCGTCCCTGCCGAAGCTCCGTAAGCCGTCGACTAATCTTACTAACGCCTTTTCTCTTAGGGCCACAATAATTCAGTCCACAATCCTCAACATTGATATTAACCGTCATCGGGAAATTCTCGTCAAGGCCATTTCTGGTCTGCTTCTTTTGCTTTTGAAGCACCTTAAGTTGAATCACATTTACCAGGTATGCTTCTTGTATCTTATAACCAAGGATTTTAAATTCTATTTATTCGGCGGCCATTTTGTTAGTCGCAGCGACATTATTTTACAAAATATATTATAGCTCCCAGTGGGGTGTAAAATATGGCCATCGATGTGCTTATGTAGATTTTCAGATAAAGTCGAAATCTTCGCCCTCAGGGACATTGTGAATGCCAAACCGGCATAACACCGGAAGTTTGTATGAAGTATGTTTCAGCACCACATTATTATTGAGACACCTGTGCAGAAATTGAATTTGCGCACGAGGAACAAATGGTTGCCACCGTCGAGCCGATCCGAGGAAATCGCGTCAAACAGATTGTCGATGGAAGCCAATGGGCGAGTACCAGGAAGCACTTCAAAAGAAGATGCGACTGCTGGAACAAAGAATTTATTGGTCGAACTTTTCAGATTTTCACTCGAACCCCTCACCAGAGGCAAACGCAGACAAGGGGTTCGAGTGAGCTGCCGAAAAGTCACACCAAATAAACTTCTCTTTCCGGTGTTCGTATCTTCTGCTGATCACGCTGCTCAATTTCACCAACTACTAGCATGCAGTTAGGCAAAATGTGACGACTAAAACCAGCGTGCCTGTCCCGTGTGACTTAAACAGCTATTAGATACATCGACTCCGTCCTTAGATTACGCGCCACATGTGTGCTGGCCCATGTCGAGGTTGGTGGTTCTACTGGCTTCGACATAGTCTACAGGCTCGGGACGATAATCATAGTAAGTTCAGTATCCTTAAGCATCTGCAGCAACATTCAGCCCCGCACAATGGTAACGCGACAAGCTCTTTGAATCTTGGTCCTAATTACACAATCAGGGGGTCGATCCCTTTTATCATGTCCTCCGTTCCTTCCAACGCTATCAAGATTTTTGCTGGGGTCCGGAACGCACGCACCGATGAGGATGGCCCAACTGCTCTTTTTCCCTGCAAATCTGTCATCCGTAATCAGTGTTACAGTGGTGACCGACTTCTGCTTTTTGTCGAGGGCAGTAATCTGGTTGCTGCTAGCAGCAGGCGTCAGCAATCGACCTGTCATTCAAATGACGAGATGGCCACCGCGCAGGCTCATGCAATTTATGTGGTTAAACAATACTCTTATTGACTGTCAGTTAACACGTGTAACTGAGACTACCAGGGAGCATAGCTTACAGCACGCTTTCGTAAAAGCGCTCTTGCGCCTACTTCTTAAGGTGTTCACAAATGTCCTGACTCGCTGTGCTCTCCTTGAAGGCAGTGGTGTTTACCCGCCCCACATTGGTGAACTTCAGAAACAGCAACGGTAGGCGGAAACCCAAAGGCCAGGAACCCGCCAACTGTTTTAGTCTGATGCGTGGCGCGCCTGACTTGATAGATATCTGTCCGTAGCGACCAGTAAGGTTCTACCAACATTTTCAGAACGTGGCGTAACGTGACAGTTATATCTGTCGTCGGCCGTAAATTTACTTTAATTAGGCCTGAACACGATGCTGGCCTGCAGGCCCTGATCTGCGGGTGACGACTGTTAACGGAACATTCATTGCTAGTGGTCTATCTGCGCATGACTATCGTACCATTACTTATGATTAAGGATTCTCGACGGAATCTGAAAAGTCAGGGCAATAAAACTCTTGTTCCAGTGGTCGCCTCTTCTGAACTGCTTCCTGGAACTCACATATTCACCTCTATTGGCAGTGGTGTAACTGTTGGCTGAACAGGCTCGTGATGTTTTACACTCTGACTTCGATTAAGACGGTACAGATGTTGGTCGATGCAAGTGCAAAAGTAATAAAATGATGAATTAGGAGCTTTTGGTGTTTCTGCGTT